TAGAATCATTTATCTCTACTTTTCTGTCATGTCCAATAACATCTTCGAGCAACTGTTAACATAAAATTTTGAGGAAAATAGTAAACAAAAAGATGTATGTTAGGTACAGCGCCAGTGGAGAGGCCAGGCGCTGTGTAAAACTCGGTTTTACAGCTTTTGGTGAATTTACAGGCTTGCCACAGATATTACTGGCGTGAGTGGAAGAGCTTCAAAGATGGTCGACGTTTGATGCTCGTAAAAAATATCAACGTTTGGGGCGAAAGAGGTCAACATCTGGCTAGTCTAACCCAAATGTGACCGTCAAACTCAGTAAGAAGTTGACAAGACAGTTTCCAGGAACTCTGCCTCAGGAAGGGGGCTTGTCTGTTAACAGCTTCCGGGGCGGCGTCTGAGTGACCTTGAGGACCGTCTGCGTAGACTGCAGTAATAATAGCTCTTGCGTGCTTGTACTAGTTAGGTCCTCGGCGCAGGCGGCGCCCCAGGGACCCGGGCTGTAGCTGCCGCCTGGAGGTGCGCGCCTCTCACTGGCTACGGGGACGCCAAGCCTAGCTCTTTATGACCCGCATATTAACCGTGTTGTACATGTTTTAATATAGCTCTGCTGACCTTCAGATTCTTTATAGAACCTGTAGGTAAAGTTGTGGATGGAGATGGGTTCCACAACTTCTTCCCTCCGGGCACTACACTTGTTGGTCCACCCATTTGTGTTTCCAGCTTCCATCTGGGTCCTCTTGTCCTTTAGCTTTCAGTAAGCTGTCCTTGTTCATCTAGTCTATACCCCTCAGTATTTTGTATGTTGTGATCATAATTGCTCTCCGTACCTTTTCTCCTCCAGGGTTGTGAGGTCCAGTTCCTTCAGCCTATCTTCATAGCATAATATTCTTAGTTATGGTAACAATCGTCTTACAAACCTCTCCAGTTTTTTAAATTTTAGTTTTAAGCTGCACACGGTGTAGACTCCGGGGTGATGCTGCACGTTCCAGTACTGGTCTAACACAAGCACACTGTACAGATTACTTGGGGAAGCGGCCTCATTCAGTTTTCTAAACGACTGTCTAAATGTTGACCAGACCACACACTACAAGGTGAAGGGACGACGACGTTTCGGTCCGTCCTGGACCATTCTCAAGTCGATTGTCTTCACCTTCTAATGTGTGGTCTGGTCAACATACTTTAGCCACGTTATTGTGACTCATCGAGTGTCTAAATGTTTGAGAGCGTCTCATATGCCGCCGATGTCTCCCTGTCCATGTGCTACAGAAATGTCCACTCCAGTTATATTAACTATATTTCTACGATTTCTATGGTTGCCTTGAATTATTGTGTAGATACCTTCTGGTCTTCTCTCTCTCCCTTCCCCCATTTTAATATATATATATGTTTGTATTATTAAATATGACAGGAAGGGTAAGATCAATGATTGAGTCTAGCACGAATATTCTCTATTTTTCTTATATTTTGTTCCACTTTAGAAGAAAATTGAAAAATTTTTCTTCTGAAGTCCAACACCCTCACACCCACAAGGACAGGCTGTTGTTCAGTGTCCAAAGTTAATTTTACAATTGTATTAACTCTGTCTCTGATGATGTTGACAAGGGTCAACAAAACGCTTCTCTTAGCACCAGCCACTAACCCTGGTTGCAACCCGTTCTCGCAAATTCGTAAAGTCAATATTGACTTATTAACTACGTGCATAGGTGATATACTAAACATAATAGATACCCCTAAAAAGATTCATAGAAAACACCGACCTTACCTAACCTTGTTAGTATCTTAAGATAAGCATCTTATTGCTTCGTAATTACAATTATTACTTAACCTATACCTATTATAGGTTAGGTAATAATTGTAATTACGAAGCAATAAGATGCTTATCTTAAGATACTAACAAGGTTAGGTAAGGTCGGTGTTTTCTATGAATAATTTTAAGGGTATCTATTATGTTAAGTATGTCACCTATGCACATATTTAATAAGTCAATATTGACTTATTAAATGGGTTGCTGCTCCACACCTTACAACTGGGTGGCCAGCGGTACGCCCGCCTAAACGTGTTACCATCAGTAAGCAAACTCTGGATATTTGGCTAAGATTTCTGGAAGTATTTCATCTTGAATGAAATACTTACATATTTCTTGAGCACCAATGACGAAGTTATCTCGGGAAATCTGCTATTTTGTTTACTTTTGATTACATAGTGAGGCAATATATGAGAGTAGTTCTGTAGACAGTTTACGTTAAGTCCAGTCTACATGTATACAGCCTTACACTAATTGTTATCCTTGTATAATGTTTCCTCGTGAGTGTTCACATTAACGGTTTATGTCTGAACATGATAACAATATTTGTCCTTCATCCCAGCAGACAGGAGGTTGTTCAGTGTTCACAAGACAGGCTGTTGTTCAGTGTTCACCACAAGGACTGGCTGTTGTTCAGTGTTCACCACAAGGACTGGCTGTTGTTCAGTGTTCACCACAAGGACTGGCTGTTGTTCAGTGTTCACCACAAGGACTGGCTGTTGTTCAGTGTTCACCACAAGGACTGGCTGTTGTTCAATGTTCACCACAAGACAGGCTGTTGTTCAATGTTCACCACAAGGACTGGCTGTTGTTCAGTGTTCACCACAAGGACTGGCTGTTGTTCAGTGTTCACCACAAGGACAGGCTGTTGTTCAGTGTTCACCACAAGGACTGGCTGTTGTTCAGTGTTCACCACAAGGACTGACTGTTGTTCAGTGTTCACCACAAGGACTGACTGTTGTTCAGTGTTCACCACAAGGACAGGCTGTTGTTCAGTGTTCACCACAAGGACTGACTGTTGTTCAATGTTCACCACAAGGACTGGCTGTTGTTCAGTGTTCACCACAAGGACTGACTGTTGTTCAATGTTCACCACAAGGACTGGCTGTTGTTCAGTGTTCACCACAAGACAGGCTGTTGTTCAATGTTCACCACAAGGACTGGCTGTTGTTCAGTGTTCACCACAAGGACTGGCTGTTGTTCAGTGTTCACCACAAGGACTGGCTGTTGTTCAATGTTCACCACAAGACAGGCTGTTGTTCAATGTTCACCACAAGGACTGGCTGTTGTTCAGTGTTCACCACAAGACAGGCTGTTGTTCAATGTTCACCACAAGGACTGGCTGTTGTTCAATGTTCACCACAAGACAGGCTGTTGTTCAATGTTCACCAAGTGGATCAATATTTCTCTTGACGTGTAAGTGTCGGATTATCTATTGAATCACTTGGTCCACACTGAGGCAACATTAATGAGGCTACAGCAACACTGACGAGGCTAAGCGGAAAAGGGTGTGAGGGGGATGAGAGTGTGTGTGAGGGTGAGTGTGAAGGGTGAGTGTGAGAGTGAGTGTGAGAGTGAGTGTGAGGCAAGAGCTACACAAGGAGCCTCACAGCCGCTTACCCAAGCTGTATAATATATATAGCAAAACTCTAGCGTCTTTTAGTTTAGTTCATATATTATGCGCGCTGTTCTCATCCTGTGAGTGGTAGTGCGCCCCCATACCCATCCTGTGAGTGGCAGTGGCCCCCATACCCATCCTGTGAGCGGCAGTGGGCCCCCATACTCATCCTGTGAGTGGCAGTGGGCCCCATACCCATCCTGTGAGCGGCAGTGGGCCCCCATACTCATCCTGTGAGTGGCAGTGGGCCCCATACCCATCCTGTGAGTAGCAGTGGGCCCCATACCCATCCTGTGAGTGACAGTGGGCCCCCATACCCATCCTGTGAGTGGCAGTGGGTCCCATACCCATCCTGTGAGTGACAGTGGCCCCCATACCCATCCTGTGAGTGGTAGTGGGCGCCATACCCATCCTGTGAGCGGCAGTGGGCCCCCATACCCATCCTGTGAGTAGCAGTGGGCACCCATACCCATCCTGTGAGCGGCAGTGGGCCCCCATACCCATCCTGTGAGTAGCAGTGGGCACCCATACCCATCCTGTGAGCGGCAGTGGGCCCCCATACCCATCCTGTGAGTAGCAGTGGGTCCCCATACCCATCCTGTGAGCGGCAGTGGTCCCCCATACCCATCCTGTGAGTAGCAGTGGGCACCCATACCCATCCTGTGAGCGGCAGTGGGCCCCCATACCCATCCTGTGAGTAGCAGTGGGCACCCATACCCATCCTGTGAGCGGCAGTGGGCCCCCATACCCATCCTGTGAGTAGCAGTGGGTCCCCATACCCATCCTGTGAGCGGCAGTGGGCCCCCATACCCATCCTGTGAGTAGCAGTGGGTCCCCATACCCATCCTGTGAGCGGCAGTGGGCCCTCATACCCATCCTGTGAGTAGCAGTGGGCACCCATACCCATCCTGTGAGCGGCAGTGGGCCCCCATACCCATCCTGTGAGTAGCAGTGGGTCCCCATACCCATCCTGTGAGCGGCAGTGGGCCCCCATACCCATCCTGTGAGTAGCAGTGGGCACCCATACCCATCCTGTGAGCGGCAGTGGGCCCCCATACCCATCCTGTGAGTAGCAGTGGGCACCCATACCCATCCTGTGAGCGGCAGTGGGCCCCCATACCCATCCTGTGAGTAGCAGTGGGTCCCCATACCCATCCTGTGAGCGGCAGTGGGCCCCCATACCCATCCTGTGAGTAGCAGTGGGTCCCCATACCCATCCTGTGAGCGGCAGTGGGCCCCCATACCCATCCTGTGAGTAGCAGTGGGCACCCATACCCATCCTGTGAGCGGCAGTGGGCCCCCATACCCATCCTGTGAGTAGCAGTGGGTCCCCATACCCATCCTGTGAGTAGCAGTGGGCACCCATACCCATCCTGTGAGCGGCAGTGGGCCCCCATACCCATCCTGTGAGCGGCAGTGGGCCCCCATACCCATCCTGTGAGTAGCAGTGGGCCCCCATACCCATCCTGTGAGTAGCAGTGGGCACCCATACCCATCCTGTGAGCGGCAGTGGGCCCCCATACCCATCCTGTGAGTAGCAGTGGGCACCCATACCCATCCTGTGAGCGGCAGTGGGCCCCATACCCATCCTAGGCTCAGAGGTGCTGCTACTACTGCTAGGCTCAGTGGTGCTGCTACTACTGCTAGGCTCAGAGGTACTGCTACTACCGCTAGACTCAGAGGTGCTGCTACTACTGCTAGGCTCAGTGGTGCTGCTACTACTGCTAGGCTCAGAGGTGCTGCTACTACTGCTAGGCTCAGAGGTACTGCTACTACTGCTAGACTCAGAGGTGCTGCTACTACTGCTAGGCTCAGTGGTGCTGCTACTACTGCTAGGCTCAGTGGTGCTGCTACTACTGCTAGGGTCAGAGGTACTGCTACTACTGCTAGGGTCAGAGGTACTGCTACTACTGCTAGGCTCAGAGGTGCTGCTACTACTGCTAGGCTCAGTGGTGCTGCTACTACTGCTAGGCTCAGAGGTACTGCTACTACTGCTAGGCTCAGAGGTACTGCTACTACTGCTAGGCTCAGAGGTGCTGCTACTACTGCTAGGCTCAGAGGTACTGCTACTACTGCTAGACTCAGTGGTGCTGCTACTACTGCTAGGCTCAGTGGTGCTGCTACTACTGCTAGGCTCAGTGGTGCTGCTACTACTGCTAGGCTCAGAGGTACTGCTACTACTGCTAGGCTCAGTGCTGCTGCTACTACTGCTAGGCTCAGAGGTGCTGCTACTACTGCTAGGCTCAGTGGTGCTGCTACTACCGCTAGGCTCAGAGGTGCTGCTACTACTGCTAGGCTCAGAGGTGCTGCTACTACCGCTAGGCTCAGTGGTGCTGCTACTACCGCTAGGCTCAGAGGTGCTGCTACTACTGCTAGGCTCAGAGGTGCTGCTACTACCGCTAGACTCAGAGGTGCTGCTACTACTGCTAGGCTCAGAGGTGCTGCTACTACCGCTAGGCTCAGAGGTGCTGCTACTACTGCTAGGCTCAGAGGTGCTGCTACTACCGCTAGACTCAGAGGTGCTGCTACTACCGCTAGGCCCAGAGGTGCTGCTACTACCGCTAGACTCAGAGGTGCTGCTACTACCGCTAGGCTCAGAGGTGCTGCTAGTACCGCTAGACTCAGAGGTGCTGCTACTACCGCTAGGCTCAGAGGTGCTGCTACTACCGCTAGACTCAGAGGTGCTGCTACTACCGCTAGGCTCAGAGGTGCTGCTACTACCGCTAGACTCAGAGGTGCTGCTACTACCGCTAGACTCAGAGGTACCGCTTTACTCAACCCACGCCGCCCGCCCCACCACCCACATCTTAACCAGCTAGTGAACCTTACAACTGACCTCGACCTACAGACCAGCAAGATAAAGGTCAACACTATCCTAGGAAGAAAAAGGTTAAATTAACAAAGGAGCGGCCGTGGTTAGTTAGTTCCACCAACCACGTGGACGTAAACACAGTGGAACTTATTCATCATCAAGATGAATATAAAGGTCAAGCCCAGGGAAGGTCAATACGAGCCTCTTCAAGCGCGGGATGTAGAAAAACATGTAGAACAGCTACATAAGTCCTCATGTAACTTTATGTAAACTCTTGCAAGGTAACATGAGCCTGGCAACCTCGTGTACTTATGGCAACATGGAACCTCGCTGGCAACCAGAGTAAGTCACACCTGCACTAGGCAGTGATGTGGTGGAGGCTGACTCCATACCTGTTGATTGACGGTTGAGAGGCGGGACCAAAGAGCCAGAGCTCAACCCCCGCAAACACAACTAGGTGAGTCACACCCTCAGAACACCCTAGCTCTTGCCTCACCTTCAGCGGCCCCTGTGCTCACCCTGCGAGGGTCCACACTCACCCGTCACCCTCACGGAAACATCACCAATAACACCCCGTAGAGCAGCTGCCAGACCAAGCTTCCAGGCCGACCATTTACCCCCAGAGATGAACCCCTCTCAGTCTTGGGCTGTGTTATGTACTCACCTATTTGTTCTTGCGGGAGTTGAGCTTTGTCTCTTGGGTCCCGCCTCTCAATTGTCAATCAAGTGTTACCCAGCCTCACCAGGGCCAGGGGCTCCTCTGGGGGGGGGGGGGTTGCATCCTCCACTACTGCATCTCTTAAACGAGAGTACTCACCTAGTTGTACTCACCTAGTTGTGCTGGCCGGGGTTGAGCTCTGGCTCTTTGGTCCCGCCTCTCAACTGTCAATCAACTGGTGTACAACATGACACGTATAAGTGTATAACGTGTGTGTGTATAGTGTTTGTTGAAGACTGTTCTGGGGCCCCGGCTTTACGGGAAGGTTAGGTTAGGCCCGGCCATACTGGTGATTGTTAATTACTGAAGATTCAGCCATGCAAGTGGTGTCACGGGCATGAATATATACCCTGGTGCCCAGTAAGGGTACACTGGGCACGAGAGGTGCTTGTCTGGTGTAATGTATCCCGCCCTCTTGACCTAGTAAAACCTTACCTGATAGCTGAGTAGACACCGCTCAGGATTCATAGTCCTAAGGGTTCCGGATTCGATCCCCGGTGGAGGAGGAAACAATTGGGCAGAGTTTCTTTCACCTTAATGCTCCTGTTCACCTAACAGTAAATAGGTACCTGGGAGTTAGACAGCTGCTACGGGCTGCTTCCTGGGGATGTGTAACAAAAAGGAGGCCTGGTCGGCCGAGCGGACAGCACGTTGGACTTGTGATCCTGTGGTCCTGGGTTCGATCCCAGGTGCCGGCGAGAAACATTGGGCAGAGTTTCTTTCATCCTATGCCCCTGTTACCTAGCAGTAAAATAGGTACCTGGATGTTAGTCAGCTGTCACGGGCTGCTTCATGGGGGTGGAGGCCTGGTCGAGGACCGGGCCGCGGGGACACTAAAAAAAAAGCCCGGAAATCATCTCAAGATAACCTCAAGATAACCTCGAAGACTGGGCCGCGGGGAAGCTAAGCCTTGAAATCATCTCAAGATAACCTCAAGATACCTGGCTCCACACTCAAGCTATCTACAGCTGTTTATGGCATCCAAGAGAGCCACTTATGCCCCCCCCCCCACACACACACACTTCACATTCCACAAGCCCTTAACATTACTCTCTCCCTCTACGTGGTTTGAACAAATCACTACGGCACAATGCAAGATCTTTAAGATCATCGCAGGTAACAATGAAGCATTATATCACTTGTGAACAGGCAACATATCCTCCCGACGCCCCCAGCGAAGGACGCTGGGGGCGGTGGGGGCGTCCTCTTGCTGGGGACGAAGACTCGGGTGTACAATGAGTCTACAATGTAAACTGGTTTCCCATTTTCCCCAAAGGATGCGACCCACTACAGTTGTCACAAGTCGTTGATGCCTACTTACTGCATGCGAAGGGAAGGGGGGGGGGGGTAATAAATGTACCAGGTGATATGAAAACGTGCCCAAACGGCTCTGTCCGGCATGGAAATCGAGCTCTGATCCAGTTTACCAATCACAGTGGATAAATATTTCAGTTGTGTAGGACCACTGTTGTGTAGGACCACTGGTGTGTAGGACCACTGGTGTGCATAGGGCCATTGGTGTGAATAGAACCACTACTGAACATATGACCACTGGTGTGTATGTAGGTGGGCTGGTGTACACAGGACTACCAGCGTGAAGGTGGGCTGGTGTACACAGGACTACCAGTGTGAAGGTGGGCTGGTGTACACAGGACTACCAGTGTGAAGGTGGGCTGGTGTACACAGGACTACCAGTGTGAAGGTGGGCTGGTGTACACAGGACTACCAGTGTGAAGGTGGGCTGGTGTACACAGGACTACCAGCGTGAAGGTGGGCTGGTGTACACAGGACTACCAGTGTGAAGGTGGGCCGGTGTACACAGGACTACCAGTGTGAAGGTGGGCTGGTGTACACAGGACTACCAGTGTGAAGGTGGGCTGGTGTACACAGGACTACCAGTGTGAAGGTGGGCTGGTGTACACAGGACTACCAGTGTGAAGGTGGGCTGGTGTACACAGGACTACCAGTGTGAAGGTGGGCTGCTGTACACAGGACTACCAGCGTGTAGGTGGGCTGGTGTACACAGGACTACCAGTGTGAAGGTGGGCTGGTGTACACAGGACTACCAGTATGAAGGTGGGCTGGTGTACACAGGACTACCAGCGTGTAGGTGGGCTGGTGTACACAGGACTACCAGCGTGAAGGTGGGCTGGTGTACACAGGACTACCAGTGTGAAGGTGGGCTGGTGTACACAGGACTACCAGCGTGTAGGTGGGCTGGTGTACACAGGACTACCAGCGTGAAGGTGGGCTGGTGTACACAGGACTACCAGTATGAAGGTGGGCTGGTGTACACAGGACTACCAGTGTGAAGGTGGGCTGGTGTACACAGGACTACCAGCGTGTAGGTGGGCTGGTGTACACAGGACTACCAGCGTGAAGGTGGGCTGGTGTACACAGGACTACCAGTGTGAAGGTGGGCTGGTGTACACAGGACTACCAGTGTGAAGGTGGGCTGGTGTACACAGGACTACCAGTGTGAAGGTGGGCTGGTGTACACAGGACTACCAGTGTGAAGGTGGGCTGGTGTACACAGGACTACCAGTGTGAAGGTGGGCTGGTGTACACAGGACCACCAATGTGTAGGTGGGCTGGTGTAGAGAGGACCACTGGTCGGTAATGATACCGGCGGCCGCCTGCAGGGTGCGTTTGGTGGGCGGCGCCCACTGCACCACCACACCCCAGGCCAGATGCTCACATGTTTTTACTCCGGACACCATACTGTAGAGTCATGCCTGAACCATGTGGGATACAATTTTATCCCAGCCATCCCCCAGCAGCCATCCCCCCCCCACGCCAGGTGTCCCCCGACCACAGCACAAGGCCCGTCCCTTCACCACTGGGGGTGAACCCTCGCGTGTTCTGGAGAACACGCGAGAACAGCTTCTGGAGAACAGCTTCCTCGGAGAACATGTCACTGGCCTACACTACTGTGGGACACAGACCTTGTCCACAGCCTACTGTGGGACGCGGGCCTGGCCCCACAGAACTGTACTCATCTAGTTGTGCTTGCGAGGGGTGAGCTTCAGCTCATTGGTCCCGCCTCTCAACTGTCAATCAACTGATATACAGATTCCTGAGCCTACTGGGCTCTATCATATCTACATTTGAAACTGTGTATACAGGCAGCCTCCACCACATCACTGCCTAGTGCATTCCATCTGTTAACTACTCTGCCACTGAAAAAGCTCTTTCTAACGTCCCTGTGGCTCATGTGGGTACTCAGTTTCCACCTGTGTCCCCTTGTGCGCGTACCACCCGTGTTAAACAGTTTATCTCTTGTCAATTCATACTTGACAAGCGATCATAATCCACTGCCCGTTTTGGTAGTGGCCTCCGTCGAATGTTTACAATCATGTATATGTTTTTTTTTTTTGCAGGGATATTCCTGCGCGGGCCCTAAGCCTCTGGCTGGCCCACTGCGCGGGCCCTAAGCCTCTGGCTGGCCCACTGCGCGGGCCCTAAGCCTCTGGCTGGCCCACTAAGTGTTGCTTGTTTCTGTTTTACTTGGGCGGAGTATGAGTATTCATGACTCGTATGGTCGCTTCAGTAAGATTTTGTCCCACGTGTTTAAGAACTTCTTCTGCTCTGTTGAATATAAGTTGAAATCATGTGCATGTATTACCCAGCGTAAGCACACTGGGGATATTTGGCAAGGACTTCAGGCAGTACTTATGTACTTCAAGAAGTATATATCATTTTCAATGAAATACTCATACATTTCGTAAATTATGAAATTCGAGAAATTCCAAGAATTTCTGAAAAAATCCTATTCATTTACGCAATGACGGAAGATATGTCAATAGTTCTGCTGAGAGAACTTACATTTAGGCAGGTCTGCTTCAGCAGGTGGTGGGAACCTCCTGCTTCAGCCTACCAGCAGTAACGTCTGCAAGTCTGCTGACCTTATTGGGAATAGTTTGTTTGTTCATCTAGCTGTAAATAGTTACCAGGGAGTTATACAGCAGTTACGGGCTGCATCCTGAGTGTGTGCGTGTGTGTACTCACCTAGTTGTGTTTGCGGGGGTTGAGCTCTGGTTCTTTGGTCTCAACCTCTTTGCCTCTCAACCGTCAATCAACAGGTGTACAGATTCCTGAGCCTATTGGGCTCTATCATATCTACACTTGAAGCTGTGTATGGAGTCAGCCTCCACCACATCACTTCCTAATGCATTCCATTTGTCAACCACTCTGACACTAAAAAAGTTCTTTCTAATATCTCTGTGGCTCATTTGGGCACTCAGTTCCCACCTGTGTCCCCTTGTGCGTGTTCCCCTTGTGTTAAATAGACTGTCTTTATCTACCCTATCAATTCCCTTGAGAATCTTGAATGTGGTGATCATGTCCCCCTAACTCTTCTAACTCCCCCCCCATTACCTAACTGTGTGTGTGTGTGTGTGTGTGTGTGTGTGTGTGTGTGTGTGTGTGTGTGTGTGTGTGTGTGTGTGTGTGTGTGTGTGTGTGTGTGTGTGTGTGTGTGTGTGTGTGTGTGTGTGTGTGTGTGTGTGTGTGAGTGTGTGTGTGTGTGTGTGTGTGTGTGTGTGTGTGTGTGTGTGTGTGTGTGTGTGTGTGTGTGTGTGTGTGTGTGTGTGTGTGTGAGTGTGAGTGTGAGTGTGTGTGTGTGTGTGTGTGTGTGGGTGTGGTGTGTGTGTGTGTGTGGGTGTGGTGTGTGTGTGTGGTGGTGTGTGTGGTGTGTGTGTGAGTGTGTGTGTGTGTGTGTGTGTGTGTGTGTGTGTGTGTGTGTGTGTGTGTGTGTGTGTGTGTGTGTGTGTGTGTGTGTGTGTGTGTGTGTGTGTATGTGTGTGAGTGTGAGTGAATGTGTTGCAGATGAGATACAAACAAGAATCTCACTCCTGCAGACACAACAAAATAAATACCCGAGTAAATACACCAGAGCAAAAACATTGCCACAGAGAAGAGTGCACAAAATAATATACCAATAAAACACATTTAAAACGACAAGTAAGTGAGAACAAGAAAAACAAAGACGAACGCAAGCAAAAACAAGAGATCGTTTGTACAAAAATTTTTCTCTTGTATTTTTATCTGATGTAACATGATCTCAGTTCTAATTGGGGGCTGCTTTTTGAGGTCAGGTGGAGAGGCCTTGTTAGTAACGGTGAAGGCGACCTCATTGGTGGCCTGGGGCGTTGGTAGCAGTGACTGGTGGTGTGGCAGTGTCTGGTATGGCAGTGACTGGTATGACAGTGACTGGTGTAGCAGTGACTGGTTGATGGTTTAGTCTGAGAATAGGTTAGGTTGCACGCAGAATTCAACATAGTGCAAGAGACACATTTTCGCAGCAGCGTAACATGCCTTGCAAGGGTCTGCTACTGATTGTGTATATTTTCTCTACACTGTAAAAAAAAAGCTCAGTTAATACTTCAATATACAGTGTATTATTTGTTTACATTCAAGGCACAAGGCGCTTCCCAGGAGAGTATACGGTCTCACCCAACCTAACCTAACATAAACCAACCCAACCCAACCCAACCTAACCTAGCCTAACTAACCTAACCAAACCAAACCAAACCTAACCTAACCTAACCTAACCTAACTTAACCTAACCTAATCTAACCTAACTTAACCTAACCTAACCTAACCTAACCCAACCCAGCCTCGACCCACAATCGGGAATCCCGGGCGAGACAGAATTAATGACTGAGCATGTTTCCTTCCCCAGAACGAATGATTAAATATTGTAAGTCAAGAAATAATACGTTAAGACATTATAAAGTCCAGAATTCACGACATAATAGGTCAAGACGTTATATGTAGAGACTCGTGAAAGGCAGGCTTGGGAGGGGGCCCTCAACCACACGTCAGTGACTCAGTAAGCAGAAATGAGCCGTTCTTCAATTGGGACAAGAATGGTGCAGAAGTAGGGTGAGAGTGGAGCAAAATCAGTGCAAATTTGTAAGATTGGATTATAGTTGGAAAAACCTCAAGTTCCCAGAACTACCCCTTGAAAAACGTTTACTCTGGGGGATAGCAAGTGGCCACTTGTAGGAGGGAAAATCCTAGAAGATAATATACGCAAGTTACCCTGCTAGTGGTAAGAGCAATTCCGTTTTCTTTTAGGATTTTTCCCGGACTCTTTTTGAGGAATTGTTAAGAGCATCAATTGAGGTGACGCTCGCGGGTATGTCAAGCTGATTGACGTCTCCATCCTTGAGAGAATTCCAAGATCTGCCTCATGAATTGATTATTTTTTTTTAAAGAACATTGGAGTAAAAACGAGTACAGGGGAATAATAGGGGATCCTGACAGTTGAGTGGACAGCGCTCGGGGTTCGTAGTACTAAGGGTCCGGGTTCGATCCCCGGCGCCGGCGGAAACAAGTGGGCATAGTTTCTTTCATAATGATGCCCCCGTTACCTAGCGGGAAAAAATAGGTACCTGGGAGTTAGACAGCTCCTATGGGCTGCTTCCTGGGGGATATGTGTGTGAAAATTAGGATTAAGGACCTGTCCGAAACGCTACGCTGGTGGCTGGACAAGAATGTAAGAATTCTTGTATAAATAAATAAATAAATAAATAAATAAATAAATAAATAAATAAATAAATAAATGTAGACAGAAAGCGTCTTGGTTGGTGGAACACGTGTCTGTGGTGGGGCAGAGTTGTGGTTGGTGGAACACTTGCCCACGGGAGCAGTGGGCCACGCGAGCAGACCGGGCCACGCGAGCAGTGGGCCACGCGAGCAGTGGGCCAAGGGAGCAGTGTAACACCCATGAGCCCCCCCCCCCCTTAGAGTTCACACCCAGGGAAGCCTTCTCCAAGAGGTCAGCCCAGATGACCTCCGGATTATCTTGTATGTTGATTAAAAAATTCCTGGGTTAGTCTTAGTCAGCTAGTTCAAAGTATGTAATATTTCATGATACTCTTGTCAAACATTGCAATGGAATTAGACCCCAGATTCTTATGTGTAAACATCCATGGATCTCCCCCGTTTAGCCAAGTCAAAGGTCAGTCACACACGTAATTAATAACTCCACTCTTGAAGAGTGTATGGTAAATGTCAAACAAGCTTAATTGAAATATTTTTAAGTGTTTGTGCACGTGTGGCCCGACCCCCCTGGCATTTTTGATCTAGGTAGCAACAGTAAATCTTCCCCTCCCCCTTTTTTCGAGGGTATATATTTGGTCCTGTAGAGACTTAGGGACAGAGTACGGGACACCGGGGTCGAGAGAGGGTCTGTGAAGAACATCTCACAGAGGGAGTGACAGCGTGAATCCACCGGATGGAGAGACAGAGGTCTTAAAGTAATGTGTGTGATCTCTGAGGTTTTGTTCCATGTCTAAATTTCTTAACTATTGGCCAGTGTTAGAGTAGGATTTATAGTGGTGTTTAGTATAATTTGGTATCTCAATAAACTTTTGTTACATTTCCCTTCTGTGTCAATTGTTGAATCCTCTTAGCCTTTTGGATATAGTGGCTGACTACCGTCCCATAATTAATGACAGTCATAGAAAGTACTCTCCAAGTCAAGCAATGTTTCTTGCCTCGTTGCTTGATATAGTCTCAATGGTGAAGGCAGATGGTGGCAGCGTTATTTAGTCCTGTGTAGCATTTCCTTGTTGGCAGTGTACCTTTTGGTTCCGGTGTAACCATCATATGTCAGCTCATATTACAGTGTTCAATAACAGTGTTACCAAGTGCAACGATAGGAAGTGTTACTCAGGATAAGTAGGGTTTACATTATTAGTAGTATACATTA